CCTATTTTTCCCATGGATCAATCAAGGTGATATAGGGGAAGATGTGTCCTTTGGTGGAGGGAATATGTTTTATATCTCTATTCTTGCTATATCTTCTTTGTAAATAGCTCTTTGTGAAAGCTAATTGATGGTATATGATTATGATGGAATACCACTGTGCTGTAAGAAATGATGAATGGGTGGCACAGTGGATAGAGCTCAGGCCTTGGAGTCAGGAGGACCTGAGTTCAAATCCACCCTTAGACGCCTGACACTTACTAGCTGTGTGACCCCAGGCAAGTCACTTAATCCTGATTGCCCCTCCAAAAAGCAGAAAAACAAATGATGAATAGGTGTGTTTTAGAAAAACATGAAAAGTGGACAGAGCTCTGGCCTTGGAGTCAGGAGGACCTGAGTTCAAATCTGGTCTCAGACACATGATACTAGCTGTGTGACCCTGGGGAAGTCACTTAACTCTGACTCGCAAAAAATAATAATAATAATAGAAAGACATGGAAAGACTTACATGAAATGAGAAGAACCAAAAGAATGTTGTATACAGCAACAGCAATATTGTTCAAAGAGTAACTATGAATTACCAAGCTACTCTGATCATTCAAATCTATTACAAAGGACTTATGAAGGAAAATGCTATCTACCTCCAGAGAAAGAACTAATGTGTGGAAGTATGTATTATATGGTTCTACAAACCAAATGTTGGGAGGGAGCAAGGGAGACAACTCAGAACTCAAAATGTAACAAAAACAACAAAAAGGCTAATTGATGTTGATTAGTGAAATGATATTGGGGTTTTAACCACTGGTGATATTGGACAGAACCCATCAGAATGGGGGCTTGAGCCAATGATATTGCATAAGCTTTTACCCCTAGACCTCAGAGGGGGAGATTTAGCAAACCATGCTCAGGAATACCTGATTTGTAGATGAGAATGGGAGTTGAGGTAAGGACCCTAGAGTCTACAGCTAATTTTGTTCTGACTTGCCAGTGAGTGTGGGAGATGGGATGAGGACTTTCAGGGTATATATAAAGGTGACATGTAAATCATGGCCAATCTGTTTGCTGAAGAATCCTCTCTGAAGGCTCCTTCTCTGTCTCTCCTTCCTCCTGTCCCCTAAATATGGGTATCCTCAAAAGCTTTGCCCTTGGCTCCATCTTCTCTCTACATTCTCTCCCTTGATGATATTATTCAATTCCACAGCTCCTCAATGCAGATGCCTCCCAAATCCATATCTATCCCTGATGATACAGACATCTCTAAACTATATATACTGCATCTTCATCAAAAACTGAGCTCACCTTCACCTAAAACCTGCCCTTCATTTTGACTTCCCTAGTTCTGTCAATGGTACCACCATCCTCCTAGTCACTGAGGATTAAAACCTCGGTATCATCTTTGACTCTCCTCCCATCCCCAGGCTCCAATCAGCTTCTATGTTTTGTTGCTTCTTCCTTTGTAATATCAGTTCTATGTAAATGAAAACAACTCTAACAGGCAAATCAAACTCTGACTAATTGTAATGACCAGTCTCGGTCCCCGAAAACTAATGATGAAATGCACCTGCTTCCTCTCAGGGGAATGTCATATATGTAGAATGTCATATATGCTGTCAGCTGACATGGTGACCACAGTTGACAGTGTAGGGGACATTCCACATCTGTAGTCCCTGTACCAGTTGGTTTTGCTTAAAGGTTTTTTTTGTTTTTATTTTTTATTAAAAGGGGAGGTTCAATTGGGTGGGGGAAGTACAGCAACAAATACCTATGGTGTAGATAGATAGAAAGAGAGATAGAGAAAAACATAATTAGTCACAGGTAGATGATAGAGGAGAGAGAGAGAGAGACAGAGACAGAGAGACAGAGA